TGGTGGAGCAATTGGATAAAAGGAACCTGGGTCTTTGTGTGACCTGGTGGAGCAGATCTACCTACCCGCCCTGAAATAACACATCAATTAGCTCAGTTTAGCCCTTCCCGAATGACACTCAAGGAACATCAAGAGCAGGGAGGAGGCACAGGGAGAGAGGCAGGAGATAGATAGTCTTTGTTATAGCAGCTTAACCTGTACCCTTACACACTTACTCTGCATGGCAAAGACTCTTGTCATCCTCAATATCCACTCTATTCTTTGTCCTCTATAAAAGAACCTCTGATTCTAGCTTGGCACATGGCTGCCTGTTATAAAGAATACATTTCCCAGCTTTCCTTGCAGCTAGCTATGGCATGTGACTAAGTTCTGACCAATGGGCTATGAGCAGAAGTTGTGTGTGTGTCTATCTGTCTGTCTGTCTGTCTGTCTCAATTACAGGAGGTGTCTTTAAAGAGAAGGAAGGTGCCTTTCTTCATCTAGTCCTCCTTCCTGCTGCCTGGAATGAGAATTTAATGGCTACCTCTCCAGCATCCATCTGGGACCCTGAGGTAACCATGGAAATGAAAGCCATTCATGGCTGAGCAACTAGAACAAAGGAGCTTGGGTCCCTGACACCACTGGGACACACCAGCCCTGGACCTCCTAACTTCAAGCTTTTAAATCAAAGAGAAACAAACTTCTGTTTTATTTAAGCCACTTATTTAGTGTTTCCTGAATTGCAAAACTGAGCTTAACCTGATATACTCACTCATTCACTCATTCATTTATTTCAAAATGAACCAGGAACACAAAGTAACGGAACCAGGTATGCAGGTCTGGGATGGATCCCCCAAACTCCCCTGTATGGGGCAGTAGGTGCCCAGTATGACCCAGAAAGCCCTGGAGGAGCTGGACATTGAAGTCCCTAATAAATGAGCTCTACACCCTGCCAGTGGAAAGATCCTCGGGCCCCACACTGGGTGCCCTGGAGTGAGCAGCTGCCCCTCTCTGGACCTTACCATGCCTTTCGCCATCAGCAAACATCCCTGCCAGGCCTCCAGGAAGCTTGGGCAGGAAGCTCCAAGTCAAAGTAATGCTGACTCTAAGCCTCTAAGGTGGATGGGAAATTAAGAAGCTGTATTCCTAAAGGGCTTGAGTTTAAATGTTGGTGGTGTCCCTGGGTTCCCCCAGCCCTAGCCACTACTTACACAAGTCACTTCCAAAAGAGACTCCTATCCTACATGACTTAATACATCCTCTTATCATCATTAAATACTGCCCCTAGCTTCTTGGCAATATCACATTGAGTTTTATTTTGCTTTTCCCTTAAGGGCAGGCAGCAAACTCCCAGCTTCCTGAGAACAAGAATAAAAAGTGCACCCAAAGAGAGGACTGCCCTGATTTTGCTGAGAGCCAACCCCAGATAAGGCTCAAACCAAGGCAGCTCAAAGCAAGAGAATTCATTCAAGAGACATATATTAAGTTTCTACACCATCAGTCAGGATCCTTTCAGTCTCAAATGACAGAAAGCACAGCTTACGCATAAAGGGGAATGTACCAGCTTGCAGAAATGAACAACCTGTGAGTGTCTGCCCTTTCCCAGCTAAAGTCCTGAGAGCCACTCTGATTAGACAGCTTGAGTCAATCACTGTGGCCTGGGAAAACGCAAGGCTCAGGTTGGCTCAGGTCAGGGTCACATGTGCCCGACCCAGAATCAGGGAAGTGACTTCCCTACAGGACCTGCCAGAGCCTTTATATGAATATGTAAGCAAACAGAGCACACAGTGTTACCCAGACAGCTTTGAATTTAAGCAAACAATATGAAATTGGCAGCTGTGTTACGTTGGGCCTGAAATTATCTGGAGCTAAGTAGTGGCTATGTCCTTTACACAGCACACGAGTGCTCCAGTTGGCTCCAATCCCCACCACTCCTTAATGTCTAGCTCCAAGCCTGTTTCACTGCAGACATGTAAGTTTGATGTCTGGCTAGTGATTAGACCATAAGTTCCAAATGCAAAAATGTGAGGTAGTACCCACTCGGGAAAATCACAGAGCCCCCAATTATTGTGTATATTCCCTGATAAACACACAAGCATTTGTGCATTCATGTGGACACAAAAACATACACATACAAATATACAAGTACACAGGTGCACACATGACCATTCACAAACAACTTGGGATATAAAGCCTGACTTATTTGTTTATTTATTTATTTATTTATTT